GGACTTACCACTAACCTGATTTTGTAAAGCAATTTTATAGCTGCTGTACTAGCAATTTTACAGAAACCTGGAGTAGTCACAGTTGGGAACAGAATACATTTGTATCTAACTTTTTTTAAGGTTTCTATTTTTTCTTGTCAAGTAAGTTACTTCCACAGCACAAACACACCAGTTTTGCTCCATCATATACACTGCCAACTGGTTCCAAAGAACCTTTCCAAGAAAACACTCATTAATTAGTGAGACTACTTAAAACAACACAGCTTCAAAAACTATCTATAAAGAGAACAATGTGAACATTTCAGGAAGGATACTTAGAAATTTAGTGACAGCTGCTAAGACCTCAGAAAGCAGAAGACTAGCAAAGACAGTACAATGTCATGGTTAAATGGTATAAAGTCAATGGCACAGGGCTAAGATCTGGCTTTGTCACTCTGTAACCCTAAGAAACTCACTTACTACTTCTGAGCCCCTGTTTTCTCACTTATGAGATACGCCTGAATTAGAGATTTCTATGTATCACCTGGCTCTAAAATACTATGGCCTTAGGGTCACAAAGACCCTGATGACCAAACAGGTTCCAAAAGGATATGCAACTTACCTTTCTACTGTAGGAAACACTGAACAGGGCCAAAGCCTCACAGTCATTTTTTAATCTTTTAAATGTTTCTCCCACGTTTTTCTTGCCTTCCCTATAGTTACCACAAAGTCTGTTCCCACTAAATCTAAGGAGCTATTATTACTGCCCTATCTCTTGGAAAGACCTCAAAAAACAGAAGACTAGCAAATACACTGTAACTGCACAAAACTGTGAATTCAAATGATGCTCTAAAATGAACACTGTGTATGTTTTTATCATTATTTTGATGTGTAAGAAAATATATCAAACCAAAACAATTGAGGAACTTCTCCACAGTCATACCTTGTAAATGTCAGAATGAGATATTATCTAAACAGTAAATTAAGTCACTCGAACTTTGACATGTAATCCTAATTTACAAAATAGCATCTAACCAACCTTTTAGTCACTGGCGATTGCCATCGCTTTCCCATCTGCATCCTGAGAGCAGTGGAAAAAAACAAATGTCAAGAATTCCATTCACCAAATTAATTACTTCAATGGAGTAATTAGTATCACTAATGGAGATATATTTTTTTAGATATTCAAACATGGTCGGGAGTTAATGCTATGATTTAACGGGTTTATTCTAGTCATGCACACGTTTGACATGCTGGTACAAAACTTACTAAGTTCTCATTAAATAGTAATGACCATGGAACAAAGAAAACCCAAATACCCCCCAAATCTGACCATCTCCTACTGTGAGTTCTTGAAGGGAAGGAGTTAAGCAAATTCTAAATAAGCCCACAGCCCATCCCTTAAGTTATGAAGTTTTATCACAACTACAGAACACCAGTGAAGACATTACCGAGGGGAAGTCTCTTTCTGGCGCTTTCGAGGTGATGGAGAGGCACTCCGGGAAGGGGAATGTCTCCGCCGCCTGCCTACCTCACCATTCTTCACGTGGGACCTTTTGGGTCGCTCATCTTCTGAGGAAGAGGAGGAGCCAGAATCTATAATTACATAATAAACAAAAATTTACATCAGGTCTAGGCTTAAGAGTCTGTCTACGTTTTTGGAATCTAAGCAGATGGAGTGTCCAAATTAGCAAATCAAGTCCACTAACATAAGCAAGCACATATACAGCCAGCAGTTCTGAAAAAAGGTAATATCGATATGTGCTTAATGACTTGAAAGTCGAGCATACATAAATATACGTTATTATATAATTACGTTATACAAATCATTTCCACAGAACAATCCAACAAGACAGTGAGTGTCCCTTATAAATCTAGTGATCTTCCAGATAACTAAGTAAAGCTTAAAAAGCATCTCAACCATTACTTAATTCTTGTTACTCTATGTACTTTTAAGGCTACTGAAAGTCTTACTAGCATTTGAATAATTTTACTTCATATCCCTATTATTTATCAAACAAACAAAATGTATGTGACATTTCCTACAGGCCTGGTAACAGTCAAGAACTGCAAAGAGAAACACTTCATTTGTACATGGTTTCCTTAACTTAAAATAACTAACAAGTCCCAAATACCAAAAAATATCCAAAACTTACACGCATTTTCAAACATTTCCAGGATTAACCTCATCTTTAAGAGCTGCAAAAGCTGTATGGCTTTTAACTGACTTAATGCCACTGTGGGATGCTTTGGTTTCCATTTTATAAATGAAAAGCAAAGGTAGTACCTAGACTCAGTCACAAATACCAACTAAGCGAATAAAACTAGGATATCTGGTTTAAAAATCAGGTTTCTGCATACATACTTTTTAATTCAGAAGTTCCTCTTCTAATTACTATTTTACAGATATACTCACATAAGCACAAACACAAAAAAAACTAGAAATAACCTAAATGTCCAAATAGGCGAGTGGCTCAACAGATGACAGCATATTATCAAAGTTTTAAAAATGCTGCAGCTGGTAAATAAATGAGGTAGATCCTTAAGAATTAACAGGGAAAGATGTCTAGCTATAGTAGGTTAAATAGGCAGGCAATATAATCTACAGTTTGAGCCTGTGGGTTTTTTTTGTTTTTAAACCACAGATACTTATACATGCACAGAAAATTTCTGAATAAAAGCTTTGGGGAGTAAGACAGGGTTGAGGAAAGAAATATACTTTTCCAATTTCTATTCCTGTTTTAACTATTGTACTAACACTTCCTCCTAACATATTTATACAAAGGCACAAAAATATTTCTCCTAAGTATTGATACGTTCACTACACTTTCGGATATTTTTATCTTAAGTATTTTTATTAGGATATGCAGAAAGAAAAAAAATGTAACCAGTGTCCGTACCAGAGGAAGACTGCTGGTTCTGTCGTCTGTATTGGCGTCTCTGCTGCACAGAATCTGCTGCAGCCATTTTGCCACCTTTATCTTCTTCTGAAAGATGGATGCATTTAGAAAGTGTTTCTTTAGTCATGCATACAGAAAATGTAACATATTTGAATTGGGAAATGGTCTCCTAAAACTTTATCTGGTTGGGTCAAGCAATACAGCTACTCTTTTTTAATAAAGGAGGAGCTTAAAATGCCAAGTTAAATGCTAATTTAGACTATCTTCACTAAATATAATAAAAATAAACTTATTTAGGCATTTGTGACAGTTTGGTCTGCATGCCAAGCACTTTATAAACATTATTTCAGTTAACAACCAAAGACCTAAAGGATGGTATTGTTATCTGCATTTCAGAGAGGGGAAAAAAAAAAAGTAGAGGCTCAGATAAATTATTAAAACAAACAAAAAGTAGTTAGTGGAGCTGGGGATTCAAACAGGCTGGTATGACTTCAAAGTCCTAGCTCTTAACCATTAAGCCGTATCGTATAATAATCTTTAACCAGAATCTAATTCAGCTTAAAAAAAACAAAACAAACAAAAAACACTTACCTGATTCAGATAACTCTACTTTTCTAGGCTTGGGTGCTGGTGAAGGGGACTCTCTTTTCTCAGTACCTTTATGTTTTGTCACTAAAAATAAGGGGAAGAAAAACCCCACTTACATACATACAAAAACAAAACAAAAAGCAACACATCTTCCTAACAGTACAAAAAGAAGTGTGACTATTCTCATAAATAATTTACTGACAATTAAAAAGTTCCTATAAGCCCCTGTTATCATTACCTGAAGTATAAGCAAGAATTTGTAAATGTTTGGTGAAAAGCCTCAGAAAGTTCTACAATGATTTTCCAATTTTCAAATTTTCAGATTCTCCCAAGAGAAACTTTAAGAGAAATTGGGAGCTGCTGTTTCTGAGTAGAACAAGCTCGATGCTATGCATAACATTCAGTACAGTAAACCTCTGTGCGCTATCCTACAACCTAAAACACACACTCTTAACTACAAAGACCTCATCAACATAAGACCTTTTAAGCACCCCCTACAGGTTGGTCCAGAAAAGTAATGAAGATGATAAATGATAAATGACATAAGATCTGATGAAATTTTCACAGAGAAAAATATCTGGTCTGGAGAAGAGGAACAAATTAGTCACCTAAGAGGCTGAAGGCTTTTGACGTAGAGTATAACCTTCACAATAGCATGAGGGACTTAAACTACCTGTAAAAAAGTAGACCTTCACAACGGTAAAAATATTAAATGCTAAGCTAGAGGATCCTTTCCAAAGATTAAAAAAAAAAACAAAAAACCTCAACTGAAGTCATGCGGGTAATTGAAATGGACTAGGATCTGAACCCAAGACACTCT